ATGTGAAACAGATGGATGGTTGTGTAAGAAAACTAAATCCTCAACTCCCATAACAGAAAGTCATATGAGAATGTCTCAAACAGAGGAAGAAAAGATAGCATAATTTTATATTTAGTATCACTATATAGTATTTAGGAGTGAAGTGTCATGATGTTTGCAACTTACTTTTTAGGAATTCATCAAAAATGTGTGTGTATGATTTTATGTGTATGTACATATATGCTTTTTTGAAATTTTTAATAATAAAAATTAAGGATAAAAACTTATGATATAGAAAAATGAAGATGTGTAAATTCTGGAAGCAACAGTTCCAAGTGGTACTCCCTGAAGAGAGAGACTGCAGGTGTAGTGAGGGGTGATTTAGGGACTGGTGTTTTTTGTGAAAAGCCTTTTAGTTGTTACTTTTTGACTTTCTAAACTATGAGCATGACTCAGCTAAAAATAAAAACTTATTTAGAAATTTAAAGAAAGGAAAGAAAAAAGGACTCATCGTCCAATTACATTTTACCACTTCTAGTTACATGACCGCGGTCAAGTCCTTAACCACAGAAGACTGCAAGGTTGTGAACTATTATGTGAAGAAGATTCAACTAGACCCTCTACTTCAAGTCGAATTTGCTGATTCTCTCATCAGACACAAATTTATTTATTTAAACTTTGTCTTTCTTCGTTGTTTAAATTTTGTATGTCTAAAATTCTTCCTAGATTATCAAATTGCATTGAATAGAAAAGTAATTCTTCATGAAGATGACTTTAGCGGTTTGTCACAAAACTTTGCACTGTTACTTGGGTTTATCCTCTTCACAGTCAACAAGAAAGCCTGGTCTTCCTAGATTCCTAGTCTCTAACTTGGAAAAAAATATGGAGCATGTGGAACAAAAATAGCTCAAATGTAGATTCACTTGGGGAATGATTTGGACTTACATAGTTAAACGAAAAATCGCCAAAGTCATATTCGCCAGAATTACATCCAAGAACAACGTTTTATTTAGCAACTAACTGAGATGAATAGCAGCTTCAGTAGCTCTAAGCAAAGGCTCTATTCATCAAATTTAAGGACACAGGCAAAGGAAATTGATTCATTTCTGGACCTGATTGAGTTTCCACAGTTAGATGCATTGGAGGGAGAAATGGCCTGAATGCTTCAATTCTGTGGTCATCGCCTGGATGTAATCTGGTCTGGAACACCCCACCCTTGTGTCCTCAAGACCAACCAGGCTCCCCACATGGAAGAGACTCTTATCTCCATACCCTTTTTAGAATAATCAATGGTATCTTTAATAAATACCTGTGATCTCTCAGCTTTCTCTTAGAAGGTGCCTATGTGTTTGAAATAGAAGATGCATGAAAGACTGGAATACCTTATGAAAAAGAGGGTTCAGCTTAGTGCCTTGCACTTAGTTTGTGCTCTATCAATGCTTGTTAATCAAAGGTCTCATGTTAAACTTATTATATTTGACACGGTTACAAGATCTATTTTCACCTCCTCTCCATCATCTTGAGAGCCTGCTTGGGAACAAGAAGGCTCTTCTCCTGTGGCATGTTATCACTGCCACTTCCATAGTTCTTAGTCACTTGAGTGACACTGGCTCGGTGTCTTAACTTACCTCTAGAGTTGAAGCTCTGAAGGCAGGGACATGTCTGTCTCATTCACCCCTCACCAGGCCATAGGAGGCCCTTGGAAAATACTTGTCAGAGAAGCAGGCTTGGTTCTGGTTTTCTATTCTCATCACCCAGAAGGCTCTTTTGATGTCAGGATGCTAGGTTCCTTAGTTAACTCCTTAACGTGGGTTTGTAAGCCTTTCCCTTGGAGTCAAAAGACCCTGAATGTGAGCCTTAATTTGACTTATTAAGTATAGGACCTGAGACAATTTACTTACATTCTCTGAGGTTCAGTGTCAATCTCTAAAAAAGAAGTGATAATAACACCTTCCTCAAAAAATTTTGGTGTGACTTAAATGAAATATATATATGTGTGTGTGTGTGTGTGTGTGTGTGTGTATATATATTCTACGATAGAACCTAGCACATCATAAGTACTCAATAATGTTAAATCTTTTCTGTTCACAGACCAAGTTACTGATGTGTAGAACTTGAAAGTAGTAATAAGGGGCTGCAAACTATTTTTAATAGTTCAAAAAGACTAATAGAATTTTTATATTTACTTATATTAATGGAAATGTTAACCTCTTTTGGGAAATGTATCAACTTGCTGATACATGCTAGTCAGCATTCTTTCCTGGTACATGCTTGTCTCAGATTAATTAAAAATGGGAAAATTAACTATTCATATATGTAGCTTAGTATATAAAAACTCAAAATGGGGAGTTTATGAGGTGTCCTTGGTTAGTTGGAACTACAATGGATCCTTGGTTTTTCAGAACCACCTGTTTTGGACCTGGCTCTCAACGCCAGAACTGTGATGGGCTTACAGAATTTGGGGGACTGAAGTGTTTGCTGCTGGACACTTCGAGTGTGTTTGGTGATAAAACTAAACCAGTTTCACAGCAATAAGAACACATGTTCTGGCTAGACTGAGCTGTTATAATTTCACCTAACACTCATAAAAACAGCATATGCCTAGTTTGTGTTTGAGAATTTTACTGAAAATTACTAAATAGTGGATAATGAATAATTTTACCATAGGCTTTTGTTATTAGATGGCCAGAATCTCACAGTGGCATGAAATGACTATGGCATTCTAAAGAAAAATAGAGTTATATTTAAATAATCCAGATTATTTGTGAAATCCTATAAAACCCTCAACTCTCTTGTATTTTACTCTTTAAAATGTTTTAGGAAATTATCAGCTAGCATATTTTGGGGAGATAGTGTAGAGATATAAAATCGGAGAAGTAACTATTTACCAGCCTCATAAATATGCTATAAAAATCCTAATGATTTCATCAGACTTGACTTATTTATTACCAAATTCCTATGGGATGACTTATGGTATGAAAGAAAGAAAGAAAAAGAGAGGAAGAGAGAGATCTTTAGTAGTATTTCCTAACTCCTTTAATATGTGAATAATTTTTATGTTATTTCGTATTTTTAAGTCAAATTTCCCATTATCTTGATTTGAACTAAAGCCAGATTGAAATTTGGAGGAGGACTTTTTTTCACTAACAGGGCAACTGAATATTAAGCTATTGCAACCCCGAGACAAGTCCTACTTATATTTCCTTAAAATAAAGATCTTTTTACTCCCCCCACCCCCATATTTTCACCGTTACCCTATTGAAAATATCTCGAAAATCTGCTCCAGGGAAGACTAATATACCACAAGTGACCATGTGTCATTGTGCCTGTTGGGTACATAAAAAGACTCACACTTCTGTCTACTGTCCATAGAGAATTTGGGATGTGTGTTTTACCTTCCTCCCCAAGGGTCAATTCCAGGATGAGACTTGATATCCTAGAGTAAGTTTTTAAGATATTGCCTACTTATTTGGATAAAAATTGTCTATTTTAATCCTTTGCTTGCAATATATAAATTAATTAAAAATAAAACCTTGTGAATACATTTACCACAACTTGGGTCTTGTAAAAGAATGAAAGGAAGTTCTCAATTTTCGTGCTGAGTGTACATTTTATTACCTCAATAACAACAATATCTAGCATTTTATATCACTCTTACATGATATAAATATTTCATAAACAATATTGCATTTTGTCGCTACAATAACCCTATGAAATACGTGGTACGATATCATTAGTCTCACTTTACAGATGAGGAAATTGAGGCTCAGAGGGAGTTTTAAATTACTTGCCCATAGTGAAATGGCTAATAAGTACTAAAGTCAGGACTCAGTCTCTGGTCCTCTAACTCCTAGTTCTGGGTTTCTTTTTCCTCTTTTTAAAAAAGTGAGGTGAAATTCACATAACATGGAATCAACAATTTTAAAGTGTAAAATTCAGTAGCATTTACTACATTCACCATATTGTGCCATCTTCACCTCTGTCTGGTTTGAAAACATTTTCATCACCCCAGAAGAAAACTTATACCCTTAAGCAATCACTCCTAGACCCTGGCAAACACCAGTCTGCTTTTTGTCTCTGTGGGTTTACCTATTCTGGATATTTCAGAGAAATGGAGTCAGACAGTATGTGGTCTTCTGTGTCTGACTGCTTTCACTTAGCACAATGGTTTTGAGGTTCATCCACATTGTCACATGTATCATTACTTCATGCCTTTTTATGGTTGAGTAATATTCCATTTTACGCATATACTACAATTTCCTTATCTACTCATGGATGCTTGAATTGTTTCCACTTTTTGGTTTTTGTCAACAGTGCTGCCAAGAACATTTGGACATTTGTTCAAATAATGCTAATTATTGCTAACAGGTATTTGGCTTGCTTCAATTTTTTGGCCATTATGAACATTGCTGCTATGAACATTCATGTACAGATTTGTGTGTGGGCATCTGCTTTGAATTCTCTTGTGCATCAACCTGGGAGTGGAAATGCTGGGTCACATGATGATTCTACGTTTAACTTTTTGAGGAGCTGCCAAACTGTATTCCACACTGGCTGTCCCATTTTACATCCCCGCCAGAAATGTATGAAGGTTCTAACTTATCCACATCCTCGCTGATACTTCTTATTTTCTGTTTTGTTTTTTAAATTATAGCCATCCTAGTGGGTGTGAAGTAGTAGTTTTTATTTACATTTCCCTAGAGACTAATAATGTTGAGCATCTTTTCATGTGCTTTTTGGCCATTTGCGTATCTTCTTACAAGAAATGTTTAAGTCCTTTGCCCAATTTTTAATCGGGTTGCTTCTATATTTCTTTAAAAAGATAAATTATGATTTCTCTCCTAAAATTCCGTATTTGCTTCCTTGGAAAATTTACCTTCTTGCTCCATAATACATAATTATGGAGGGAAAATATAGTTTTGGTATTTTTGAGATATTTTTATATTGTAGAGCTGTGTATGTGTATGTAAGAGGTGGTTGCCAGGGGCTTACCTGTGAATAAGATATAAAATTCTCCACAGGTGCTGGAGTTGATAACTGAAGCCCCAAAGGGTGAGCTGATCCATTTGTCAGCCACCGTGGTGCTGTCCTCAGCCTGGGAGCACCCTTCAGGTAAGGAGCCAGGGGTGAGTGATGGGATGGATGGCAGATCTGAGAATGTGGACTTCTATTTAACTTGGACCAGGAGAAAGAGGAGTTGCCTGGTTTGCTGCCCTGTGTCAGAGAATAATGTGGCACCTGCTCTGGAGTGAAGGTGAGGATGGGGGTGGCAGCCAGGTGGGAGTGGAGGGAGAAAGCTAGAGGCTCCTCTTACAGGGTTCTGACAGCTTCCTGGGTCAGAGGGTATTATCGCTGTCGGACAGCTGTCTAAGGGAGTCACGATCATTTTTATGCTGTTTGTATTTTGTGAAACTAATTCCCTTTTGTCTTTCTTGGTACTGAGTACAGCTCTTTGCAAGAGTGCCAGCCTGTCTCAGGTGTGCTAAGGGGAACCTGGGCAAAGGTTCTGTGCAGATTTGGGCCAGTGTTTTGAAGGGAAGCAAAGTGCTCCTGGAGCCAAGGGAGGTGGTGGCAGTGGTGGAAATAACGGTGAGAAGACACCAGAGGGAAGGAGAGGCTCGAGAGCCAGACTGCAGGCCGATTTCTCCCGGGACCCCTCCCTGACACACCTCTGTTCATCCCCCAGAAGGATCTAGTTCTTTTAAAAATGTGACTGGATAATACTTTGAGATATTAATTTACAGACTTTTCTCCTATTTGCCCCTTTCATTTCCCTCCTTTCATCAGATGATTGGCTCTGGTCCACAATCTCAGGAGAAGGAAGTGACTGGCTAAAAAGCGGAAGCACGCTATAAATTACTTGTTTTCGTGCTCCAGAAGTCTGAATATTTAGGGGAGCTTAGAAGATTTTGGGTTTGAACAAAACGTTTGGGTGAGAAAGGGCTTTCCTTTCACCTCAAAATTTGAAAAAAATTCTCTTGGGCTGGGTGGGAATGGGGAGAGCTAAGCTGGGTGCGTGGGCACGAACACAGACAGGAGTGTGGGTCCCAGCGCTGAAGGGACCGCGCCCTGCTCTCCAGGAGAGGCTGGGAGGTGGCGAGGCCCCAGGAAGGGAACAGTGGTGTTGGGGGTGCTGGGCTGAATAATGGCTCCCCCAAAAGGTCTACATTCTAATCCCAGAACTGGTGACTAGGTGACCTTACATGGCAAAAAGGACTTTGCAGATGGGGTTAAGGATCTTGAGATGGGGAAAATTATCCTGGAGTACCCAGGTGGACAGTATAACCACAGGATCCTTACAGGAGGGAGGCAGCTGAGCAGACTCAGTGAAGGAGATGTGATGATCTTACATGGCTGACTCTGAGGATGGAGGAGAGGGTCGTGAGTTGAGAAGGGCAGGTGGCCTCCAAGAGGTGGACAAAGAAGTAAACGGATTCACCTCTAGGGTTCCCAGGAGGAACCAGCCCTGCTGACACCTTGATTTTGGTTCGTGAGACCCATTTTGGACTTCTGACGTCCAGAACGGTAAGATAATACGTTAGAGTTGTTTTAAGCCACTGAGCCTGTGGGGGTTTGTTACAGCAGCACTTGGGAAGTAAGACAGCGGGGATGGAGGCAGGGAGGACTGGAGGCTACACAGTGCATCTCCTGCTCCCCAAGTGGGGCCCAGAGGAGCCAGCAGAGGAGCTTAGGACCCACGTGCAGGGGCAAGGGAAGCCCCAGCCCTGACCCTGGAGACTGGTGACCAAGGACCTGGTGGGCTCTCACATCCAGTGCCCTGGTATGACAGGAGCACCCCAGAATTTCCTGTTACAATCCTAGGGAAGGCTGGAAGCTCCCTCCAAGTGACATCAAATATCTATCACCCAGCCTAAATGGGCACTTCTAATATAAATAAAGAAAGTCATCATTCTCGCGCACTGAGCTTGGGGGCTGAAATTCCCACTCTGTACATAATGTTTTCATTTCAAACACTGTGGGCCACATGCTTTATATATGTATATTCTAGTTAGTTTTTGCAACCTGGTGAGGTAAGTATCCCTCATTATCCTTTTCATTTAATCCCGAAAATGTGGCAGATAGAAGATTTTTGCAATGAGAGGGACTATATTCCATTATTTTAAATACAAAAATTATAATGAGTTCCAGGCTTAGTGCAAAAATTTCAATCAATTTTCTCTTAACTGAACATCTTAAACATCTATATAACAATCCATCAAGGATTTCTGCATCATATAAAACATTAAGAACACCAATCATCTAATTATTAAACACAGCAGTGGATATCTTGTGTTTGACACACAATACTGTACAGTATTACGTACCAACTATATTTTCCTTCTACACTGAAATGAACTGCAATTAAATAAGCAATGCGTGTACACAATGAATGCAAATGACACCAAATGCGATCCTTTGGGGTAAATGGCTCAGGTACGACTGTGGTGCGCTCTGCAGCTTCAAGCCCACTCAGATGTGCAATATAACTTTTTCTCTGCCGTGTCTGTGAGATTTCCTCAAAACTTTGGTGACCATGTAATTCATGGTACGGTTGGGACAGTTTTTGTGAATGAAGGGGGAGCTGTTCCTAACTGTCTTGGGATGATAATAGTTGAAGCTGGAACTCTCTGGGACAAAGTGGGATATACGGCCATTCTACTGAGAGCAGTTCTACAACTTGGAAAATGCATTTTGCAAGTTTTATGGTAAATATTTGGATAGCAAGAATTCAGTATTTTCTTATCTCTGTTTTTCAGATAGGAGAAACCAGGACTCACAGAGAGTTAGCACTGGCCCAAGGTCACACATCATTAGAGTGGGAATTCAAACCCAGGTCTGGATGCTTTACGCTGTGGGTTTTGTGAGTGATTTCAAAGACTTTGGACTTGGACCTCTTTTCTGAGCCTCCAGAGAACTTGTTCCAGCCCCACAACATGCCTGGAGAGGCCTAGGGCAGCTTTTCTTCCAGTCCCCTAACTCACAACTTCAGTGCTGATGTTAAGGGGCTAATCTGAATGGTCCTTCATCTTGAGGGCCTGCTTCTACTTCAGGGCTCCACTGCAGCAGTAGAGACGGGACACGATCATTCCACTGATGAAGAGTCATTAATCCATTCATTCATTCTTTCAACTGATGTTCATTGCCTTTTGCTTGTAATCACAATTCTTGTCTTGACTCCTATATTAGTTTCCTCAGGCTGCCATAACAAAGTACCGTGAACATAACAACAGAAATCTATTCTCTCACAGTTCATTGGCCAGAAATCTGAAATCAAGGCTTCAGCAGGGTCATGCTCCCTTCAAAGGCTCTAAGGGGAGAATCCTTCCTTGCCTTGTCCAGCTCATGGTGGTTCCTGGTATTCATTGACTTATGGTAGCACAACTTCAATCTCTTCCTCCATCTTCATATGGCCTTCTTCCCTGTGTATCTGTGTCTCTACACAGCTTTCTTATAAGAACTCTAGTCATTGGGTTTAGGACCCTCCTAATTTGACATGACCTTATCAATTAGATGACATAATGTTTTACATTTAGATTTTTCAACACCATTATTATACTCATTGGTCCTCATTTAGAATGTCTCAGTGTCACTCCTGTGTGAGATGTGAGCGCATTCTGCCAGTCCGCAGACATGTGCTGGCATTTCCTGCTAAAGAGAAAATGGACCACATACTTCTTGCTTGTGCTTATAAGGTCTGAATGGGAATTATTAGGCCATAGGGAAGATTTGTAAGAGATAATGGTAATGTGATCATTTTATTGGTCATTCCGTTAGAAGGGAGGAATCCCTTAATTTTCCTTCTTTCATTGGAAGAACTGTTTATGAAGGTGTAGTTCAACAAGTCTGGAGGGCTATGTGAGAGTCATATTGGGGCCTCAGGGGCAAAAACCCTCTTCTTAAGGAAAAACTTGGGAGTATAAACAGATACTAATGGGGAATAATTAGGTGTGGTTATTTATGCCTGGAGTTATGAAAGAGAAGGAGCTCTGTATACTTAGGGCAAAAGAACACACTCTCCTGATGCAGAGAGAGGAGCTGGACTCGAGCTGTCTCTCTCCCTAGGTCACCAGCCCCATCTTCTACCCCTGCCATGGTCTCTGAGCACCATGAGCCACCTGCTGGCTTTGACCCTTCTGGTTTTGTCTCTGACAAACCTCCACATAGTAGGGGTTTGGGAACAATTCATTCATTCACCTGTACATTTATTTGTGTATATACCCTTGTTCATTCTTTCATTCATTTATGAAGGCACTCACTCACTCATTTGACAATGTTTCAACAAGTATTTGATGAAAGCCTGTATGTGCCTTGTGGCAGGCAGGTACTGACTGAGTGATATATAAAAATAAAGGTAGTCACAATCCTTGTTCTCCAGAAATTTATTGTTTTATTTGAGACAAATCTAGCTCATATTTTAGAGCTCAGTACAATACATGGCAGTTCAGAATGTCAGTGCCAAAAAAGTGGCCCAGATACTAAGAGCTATAGGAGCTCCTGGAAACGAGCCTAAGCAGTGGAGGGACTTGAGCAGGGCCCTAAAATATGGAGGATTTTGGCAGATATGGAACAGGGAGAAGGGACCTCAAAGCAGAAAACACAGAATAAGCAAAGGCAGAAGGACATAAATAATAACGGTGTTTATGAGGGAGAGTAGAGAGACTATTCTGGCAAGAGAGAACGGGCCATTATCTGGAGTTATGGGAGATGACTATCAAATTAGATCAGGGCCAGGCTGATGAAGGAATTTGAATGAAAGAAACAGCATATTGACTTTATTCAATATGGGTCTTGAGAATCACTAACACTCTTGAATAGAAATGATGATGTTGGAAAGAACTTAAGACAGTTAAGGATACCACCATTACCCAAATAGTCAGGCAGAGTATAGGGGGAAGGTGAACCCTGATAGGGCAACCTCCTTCATAGGCAGTGGGAATGGGAGAAGGAGCAAAGAGGGGTGATGTTTAATTTTTCTAATCATGTATGAAATATAGGAGAAATATTTGCATGGGTAAACTTGAGTCACACATGGTTTGCCAGTGAGAGAAAGCTTTGTGTGCAGTGGCTTCTTTAGAAAGAAGAATATATTGGCTCAAGCAACTAAACTGAAGGAAGGACTAAGGCTGTGGCTCACAGCAAGAGGGAGGATTTTGTTTACAACTCAAGTAATCTTACATAAAATTGAAGACAATCACTTTTACTTGTTCTTTGATTAATGTTCAAATAATTAATATATTTAACAAATTGTATCTTCATTAAACATTTAGAACCCACTTACATATCCCAATTTCCATAGACAATTTCAAATAAGAAGAACAAACTTATTACATATAGACATAATAATGCAATAATAACTAACACTTACGTAGCACTTACTATATGCCAGGCGCTGTTGTAAGTACTTTATATATATTATCAATATAATCCTCACAACAACCTTGTCAGATAGGTTGCTATTATCAACCCAATTTTAGAAGTGATAAAATTGACATCCATGGAATTTTATACATCCAATAAGTTGTACAGCTTGGATTCAAACCCAGTCATTCAGACTCCGGAGTTCATGCTCTTAACCACCACACTTCTATTATCTCTCAATCTAAAAAGAAGTTTTAAAAAAATGTATTCTAAAACCAGCATCATGCTTAATAGAGAATCACTATTAGTATGACTATTTAACAATATTTTGGTCACACTAGACAATGCAACTACACATGAAAAAGAAATCTGAAACATTGAAAAACAGGAGGTAAAATAATTATTTGTAGATAGTATGATTTTACAGCTGGAAAACAACAAGAGAATCAATAGAAAAACTACTGCAAATAATCAATAAGAGAATCCAGTCTCTCAAATCATTGTAAAATTAAATATAAAATTTAGTAATCTTCATATGTAAAAACCACCTAGATAGAAGATATAATGAAAGAAGAGTCCCATTTGGAATAGTAATATGAGAGCTAAACCTCTTCAAGATAAACAGAACAAAATTTATGCAAGATATACATGAAGAAAACTTTAAAATACTGAGAGACACAAAAAAGACAAGAGGAAATAGAAAGGCATACTATGTTCTTGGATAGGTTGTCTCAATATCATAAAGACGTTAATTCAAGTAACTTAGTTTAAAGATTAACTTGAACCTAGTAAAATTTCAACAGCTAAATGTACAGTTCATATAGGAAAAATATTCAAGCAAGTATAGCTAGGAACATTCTTTAAAGAAAGAGTAATGAGCCTTACCAGATATGAAAATGTGTTATAAAGCTACAATAATTGACAGCATGCTTCTGGCATATGACTAGTTAGACATGTTATGGAACAGAATGTGAAGTCTAGAAACACATCCAAATAAATTGTTTCAGGATATGATAAAGCCTACATTTGATTATTTAATAAATGGTGTTAGGACAACTGCACAGCCTACCAGAGAAAAATAAAATTATATCCCCACCATACAATTTGTATCAAAATAAATTCTAGATGTACTAAAGATTTAAATGTGGGAAATGAAAACATACCAGTACTAGAAGAAAAAAATGGGAGAATTTTTAATAATCTCAGAGTAAGAAAGGCTTTCACGATGCAAAGCTGTAAGAGAGCATCACTACTAATCTTATGGAAATAAAAAGGATTATAAGACAATACTATGTACAACTATATTCCCCCCAAAACTAGATTATCTAGATGAAACTGAAAAATTCCTAGAAAGACACAAACTACCAAAACTGGCTCAAGAAGCAATAGAAAATCTGAGCAGACTTGTAACAAGTAAAAAGATTGAATTAGTACATTTAAAACTTCCCACAAAAAATATCCCAGGCCCAGATAGCTTCACTGATGAATTCTATCAAACATTCCGAGAAGAATTAATACTAACCCATTACAGACTATTTCAAAGACAGAAGAGGAGGGAAGACTTCTCAGCTCAACCTATAAGGCCAGTACTACACTGATAGCAAAATTTGACAGACATTACAAGGAAAGAAAACTATAAATTAATCTCTCTTAATAATACAGACACAAGAAGCCTCAACAAAATAATACAAAACCAAATTCAGCAACGTATAAAAAGGATTATTCACCCTGACGAAGTGGGATTTATCCCAGGAATACAAGGTTGGCTTAACATCTAAAAATCACATCAAGGTAACACATGGTTTTAATAGAACTAAGAACAAAACTACATGATCATTTCAATAGACCAGAAAAAGCATTTGACAAAATCCAACACCCTTTTATGGTTAAAAAAAAAAAACCCCAACACTAAAAAAACAGGAGAAGAAGGAAATTTGATCAAATTGATATAGGCCAGCTATGACAAATTCACAGTTAACCTGGTGAAAGACTGATTGCTTTGCTTTCCTCCTAAGATCAGGAAAAAGACAAAGCTGTCCACTCTCATTACTCCTATTCAGTATTGCCGTGGAGATTCTAGTCAAGGCAGTTAGGCAAGAAAAAGAAATAAAAGGATCCAGACTGAAAAGCAAGAAGTAAAGCTGTTTATATTAGCAGATGACATGATCTTGTGTAGAAAATCCTAAGGAATCCACAAAGTTACTAGCAGAACTCATAAATTTTTTTAAAAACTACTAGAATTAACTAAATTCAGCAAGGGTTCAGGATATAAGATCAATATACGAAATCAATTGTATTTCTATAAGCAGCAGTGAATAATAAAAAATGAAATTAAGGAAACAACTCCATTTATAGTAGCATCAAAAAGAATAAAATACTTAGGAATAAATTTAACAGAATAAATATGAGACCTGTAACTGAAACCCACAGAATATTATTGAAAGAGGTTAAAGAAGACAAATAAATGGAAGGACACCTTATGTTCATGCATCAGATGACTTAATATTGTTAAGATCACAACACTCCCCAAATTAATCTACACATTCAACACAATTCCTACCAAACCTCTAGCTGGCTTTTTTTTTCAGAATTTGACAAGAAATATAAAACTCATAGGAATTCAAGGGACCCAGAAGAGCAAAGAAAAAAAATCTTGAAAAAGAAGAGCAAAGTTGGAAGACTCACACTTCCTGATTTCAAAACTTACAACACAGCTGTAGTAATCCACAGTGTGGTGTTCACATAAGGATAGATACATAAATCAATGAAATAAAATTGATAATCCAGAAATAAACCCTTACATTTATAGTCAATTGATTTTCTACAAGGATGCCAAGATCATCCAATGGTGAAATAAGAGTCTTTTTAACAAAGGGTGCTCAGACAACTGGATTTCCACATGCAAAAGAATAAAGTTGGACCCCTACCTCACATCATATTAAAAAACTAACTTGAAAGAGATTATAGACCCAAATGTAAGAACTAAACTTTAAAACTTTTAGGAGAAAACACAAGAGTAAGTTTTTGTGATCTTGCTCATAATGTGACACCAAAAACCCAATGACAAAAGAAAAAATAGATAAATTAAAACTTTTGTGCTTCAGGGGCCGGCCTGGTGGCATAATGGTTAAGTTTGCGTGCTCCACTTCCGTGGCCTAGGGTTTCCCGGTTTGGATCCTTGGCACCGACCTACACATGCTCATCAAGCCATGCTCAGGGGCATCCCACATAGAACTAGTAAGACCTACAACTAGGATATACAACTATGTACTGGGGCTTTGGGGAGAAAAAAGAGGAAGATTGGCAACAGATGTTAGCTCAGGGACAATCTTCTTCACCAAAAAAAAGAAAGAAAGAAAGAAAAAGGCATAAAAAAATTTGTGCTTCAAAGAACATGATCAAGAAAGTGAGACAACTTTGAAAATGAGAGAAAATACTTGCACATTATATATCTGATAGAGACTTGCATTCAGAATACATCAAGCATTTAGAACGCCACCATAAAAACACAAATAACCTAATTTTAAAATAGACAAAGGATTTAAAAAGACATTTCTCTTAAGAAGATATACCAGAAGTCCATAAGCACATGAAAAGATGCTTAACCTCACTAGCATCAAGAGAAAATATTGATTAATTTAGTTATATAAAAGGTTTTGAATAATCTGCATTGCAAAAACCACCATTACAAATTTAAATAGCAAACAATATTCTGGAGAAAAGAGATGGATGACTCATATCCCAGAACAAGGGCTAATCTCCTTAACATATTAGGAGGTTTTACAAATAAATAATAAATTTTTAAAAACGCACTCTAAAGGGGAAAATAGGCAAAGGATATGAATAAAGATTTTTTTATAAAAAGAAATTTAAAAACAACATATAAAAAGATGTTCATTTTCAATAATAACTAATATAAGCATTATAACTTCATTGAGAAACCAATTTCACCCATGATATTGGCAAAGAGCAACAATTTTGATAACACTGTTAGTGAGAATTCAAGAATAACTTTTATGCATTGCTTGTAGAAATGTGTGAAGGGCAATTTGGCCATATATATGAAGATTACAAGTGTGACACACCCTTTGAACCAGCAATTCCACTACTAGGAATGTGTTCAGTGGAAGCTATACATACTAACAACCAGCTCTCCCAAAAAATTAGGGGAATGGGGGCCTTTTATTTGTAGACTTTGCCAATTTTAATGGTATAAATACTTCCACCATGGTTAATTTCAAGCTATTCTTCTAAAATCAATCAGCTTTCAAAGTTCCCGAAATTTTAACAAATGGCTCTTGAAAGCCCATATGAGCCTGCCTCCGCACACCACTAAACGTTCATCAGAATATACAAAGGATATGTGTGCCAAATTGCACCATTATGTATCATAACAAAGATTTGAAGCAATCTAAATGGCCATCAATAGAGAACTGTTTAAATTAATGATTAAATCATAAAGTTATAAAAAAGGTTGAGAAAGCTCCTCTTTTTTTTTAGTAGATATGGAACAATCTCTAAGCTACATTTTTAATTTAAACGAACTAAGGTGCAGAGCAGTGTGTATCATCTAACGTTTGAGGGAAATATATATTCAGAGAATGTCTCTGGAAGGATATTTAAGAAACCAGAATCATTGATTTCCTCAGGGGAGGGGAAATGGGTGACTCACACATACACTGATCAGCACTCTGCTGAACACTCTAGATGTCTCTCTGCAGATCCCTGGAGTTCTTTCTCTATGTAGCTCTCTCCTGAGTCCTCTGTTCTGCAAACTGTAGCTGCCATGGGCTCCCCCAAATCTTGGCTCCGTCTCCTCAGATCAGGGAGTCTGCTGGTCACCTAGTTTCCTCGTTTGAGGCAATTGTAGAGCTCATCTCATTCACTTTCCATCTCTCAGGGGTCACTATCTTTCATTGCCTGATGGTCAATGTCTTGACGACTATTGTTTTATATATTTTGTTTGGTTTCTTAGTTGTTTTAGTTAGGAGGGTAAATCTAGTCCCTGCTATTCCATCGTGGCTGGAAATGAAAGTCCAATAAAGTTTTTAGAAAGGAATACATAGAATAATATATTCATGACTTTAGGATAGGGAAAGATTTCTTAATGAAGTATTAAGCATAGATCATACAAAAATGATTAAAATTTTGTATTAAAATAAGACCCCATAAGGAGCTAGCCCGGTGGCCCAGCAGGTTCTGCTTTGGTGGCCTGGGGTTCGCCGGTTCAGATCCTGCGTGAGGACATGGCACTGCTTATCAAGTCATGCTGTGGCAGGCGTTCCACATATAAAATGCAGGAAGATGGGCACAGATGTTAGCTCAGGGCCAATCTTCCTCAAAAAAAAAAAAAAAAGAAAAGACCCCCAAAAGACAGTGAAAATATAAGTCACAGAAGGGGAGAAGATATTTCCAATATGTATAATTACAGACTGGTAAATAGACTATGTGAGAAGAAAAAAAAGCCCTGCAAGTCAAGATCTAAAAAACAGATAACCCAAAATAAAATCATGCAAAAGTCACTAATAGGCATCACACAAAAGAGAAAATCTATTTTTTTTTTAACGGTTGGCGCCTGTGCTAACAACTGTTGCCAATTTTTTTTTTCTGCTTTATCTCCCCAAATCCCCCCCAGTACATAGTTGTATATCTTAGTTGCAGGTCATTCTAGTTGTGGCATGTGGGACACCGCCTCAACGTGGCCTGAGGAGCGGTGCCATGTCTGCGCCCAGGACCTGAAGCGGTGAAACCCTGGGCCACCGCAGCGGAGCACACGAACTTAACCACTCGGCCACAGGCCGGCACCCAAGAAAATCTAAATAGCCAACCAGCATATGAAGTGGTGCTCAACTCATTAGTAATCAGGGAAATTCAAATTAACATCAAAATATCAAAATTTGCCACCAGATAGGCAAAAATTTTAAAAACTAACAATTCCATGTGTTAACAAAGTATGGTATAGCAAGAACTCTTTCCACTGCTTGTGGGAGTACAAATTAATGCAACTATTTTGGAAACAGTTTGACACCTTCTAGGAAAGTTTAAGATATACAAACTTGTTATCCAGCAAGTCCATTCATAAGTTTATACCATACAGAACCTCATGCATACATGTAACAGGATACAGATTCAGGAATGTTCATAGCAGCATTTTTCATTATAACCAAATAATGAAAACAATTCAAATGTCCTTCAGCAGTGAAACGGATACATTATGATATATTCTTACAATCCATAACATTAAAAATGATGAGCTGAGTCAATACAATATGGATAAACCTTACAAATACAATTTTGAGCAAAAGAAGCAAGATTCTAAAGAAAGCATTCAGTATGATTATATTCATAAAATTCAAAAACAGGTGAAATTTTATATTATTTAGAGATGCTCTCTTTAGCTGTAAAGGAAAACACTTAAATGTTTCCCTTCAAAGATAACTCATATCAAAGTGAATATTACATGAAATAATATATAAAAAGCACTTAATCCATGACTTGGCACCCAGGCTATGCTCAATAAATTTTAGCTGAAAGTATTTATCTTTATCCTGAAACCCAGTCCTTTTCCTGGCAAACAGCATGTGCTTGCGTTGGGGGTGAGTGGGTGTTTAGTTAACCAATTAACTCCAAGATAAGTTTCCTAATGATCAAGACAGTGACCTGCTACTTAGCCTACTTCTTATGGACTCTAAATGGCATATATTTCTCCTGAGGCATTTCTTTTTGTGTGAAATATATGTGTTCTTAATCATAATTATTGATTTCATATCCAGCTTTTTCTTACAGTCAAAGAGAAAATATATTTAGCCAAAGCAAGTAAATGTGCATTTAAGAGATCAGCCCAGACATATCTTGAAAGTGACTGGAATCAAGTTGCAAGAGAAACGGTGAGGTTTATGGTCAAGGGGAACATGAAGATTGCACAATGACTTTCCTGACGACACAGTCTATATATGGATAGGATTGTGATTCATAAGCATTTAAAGAGAAAAATATAATCAACATTGGTTTTTCAGCCAGAATTGAATAAGGAAACTGGTGGTGGTATAATTTTGGAAGTGGGAGGGGACAATAAGAAGAAAAGGGACTGGAACAATTAACCATCTGGGTCTACATGCCGTGTGTTCATTGCTGAGTCATATGTGTTAACTGGAGTTACCTCTAGGATATCAAACAGTAAGAGACATAAAATCTTAAATAACTTTTTTAAAAAATTAACTTTTTTAAAAGGCAATGTACGTAATGAGATGTAACATATTTAGAAGGCTTTCTATGTTCTAAATATTTTTCCAAGACTAACACATTGAATACTCATAACACTAGGGATTTATAGATGACGTCCTTGGGTCCTTCTGTATTAACATACAGAAATGTTAAGCAACGTATCAAAAGTCACATAATTACTAATTTAAGTGTTGGAGCTAGGTTTAAACCCAAATGCTCTGACTTAAGAGTTATAGCTACTAACTATACTGTCTGTCTAACTGTACTGCCTATTTTGACAGTGTATGTCTCCCTAAAGAATAAAAACCATGAGATTAGCACCTAGTTAGAAAGAATAATTAATAAAAATAGAGAGGTGGTGTGTCTAATTAATAAAACCCTTCTGTAAACCACATCATGAATACATAGATCATTTGGAGGTTTGTGTATTAGTTAAGATTGCACAGCTGTGAGCAAAGAGTGTATTTGTCTTGCTTAACAAGAAATTTGGGGATAGAGAATCCAAGGCTAGGATTGCAGCTCAGTGATTCCCAGGGACCTGGGCTCCTTCTACATTCTGGCTCTTCCCTCTTCAGCCTGTAGCTTCCTTCCTCAGCATTGCGAGATGACTTCCCTACTCATGGTGTTTGTGCTCAGTATGGAAGAAATGGGAAAGGGCAAAGGATAAAACTCAAAAGTCGAAAGGGCATGGCAGCTGAAGCCCTCTCTTCTTAAAATTTTTCACCCAAGGACTTCTGCTTATATTTCATTGGCTGCTTCTAAATCAACCCTAGAAAGTGAGTAGGGAAAAGAGGGATGCAAATGAGAGCTGGGCCAGCTAACTATTGGTGTGTGCCACAGGACAACTTTCTCTAGAAGCCAAAATTGTTAGTTAAGGCTCTGCTCCTA